TCTCAGCTCAAGTGAAACCTGTGATGTGCTGTGTGCGCTGAGGTTAAAAAAAGGAGGAGGAAACTTCACCGCAACCATATTTTTCTTACAGAACATCTGCCTTCATATCTGTAACTTTTCTCAGTCTCCCTGGCCCAAATTCTGCTCCTGGTGATGCTGCTGACCTCCTTCGTAATCATGTTCTCCCTCTGCTCCATTTTTTTTTTTAATCCCCACTTACTTCTCCATGCCTCCTCTCTTCCCTCTCCTTTTCTCTTAGCACGGTTTGCAAATTCGATAACATTTGAATCCCTGGACTTAAAAAATGAGAATGGGGTCAAAATCAAAACTGACGGGGTTTTTGAAACCACTGCAAAAAAGTCATCTAGGAACCATCTCTCCCAGCAGCCATAGCTCTTCCGGTTTCCTCCTGGATCTTGTTGGGTTTTGCCCTCTGTTAGAGACTCCACATGCCGGACTGAAGTCACTAACCACCAATATTGATTTTAATTTAAGTAAAATTTACAGGCTGGTGATGGAGAAAATAAATAAATAAATAAATAAATAAATAAAATTGAGTGTATGGAATGGGGTTGGATTAGACGACCTTTAAAGGTCCCTTCCAACCCAAACCATTCCACGATGCTGATTTCCCCACATCCAGAAAGTGAAACCCAGCCAACGTCTGCCTCTCCCTGCCCTCGGAGCCCCTCACCAGGCTGCGGGGTGCTCTTGCTCCCCAGCTGCGTTTCTGACTGGCTGTGGCTGACGGGGGTGATGTCCTGGCAGCTCTGCATTGGTGAGTCCCTTCCTGCAGGGTCTGAGCCCGTTGGCTTCTCGATGTTTTTCATCTCCATCTCCTCGTGATGTATCCACAGATCGGGGGGTCTCAGGTCCTTCTGGCTGCCCTTCCTTTTACCAGCGCTGTGGGTTGCACGTTTCCTGCAGCAAAGAAACATCAAAACCGTCACGTAAGAAGGTTTTTCGCCCTTCACAAGACTGAGAGCGATGCCTCCTCATCGGAGCCCTTCTAAGGAACCCCTCCGGTTGTGTCCTTTAAACACACCAGTTATCGCAGCGTGGTCCTACGCTTCCTGGAGTTTGCCCCAGGGGATGGGCCTAGGGTGGGTCATTTTTTTGCATCAAATGGTGTAGAAATTGGGGAAAAGCACGCTTCCTGGGACAGCAGGGAAGTGTCCAGTTTCATCTTGAGAAGAGCAGCACTTGGGGAGCGTCTACATCTAAAAAACAGCCTCTGAAAAGTGCTGAGCGTGCTTCCACTGAGTTACGCACATCCTAAACCTTCCGTAACTGTGTGCAGCATATGTTGTATTTATTTAATTATACACTAAAGTAGGTTTTTTTCTTTTTTTTTTTTTTTTTTAATTACAGAAAAGTTCAGAAATCCAGAGTAACATTTCCCAGAGCAACATTAACTCTCCTCTCTTTATGCACAGGTATTACACGTTGGTGGGCCACCTCCCCTGGGGAGGACACCGTGCCACGAGGGGGTGGCCCTGCTCTGCTGCTCTCAGAATTGCACTTCCCCTCGACTATCCAGTCCATTTATAACAAAATACACATTTTTTCTATTCCAAAGAAAAAATTACGCTCCTTAAATATGGAGTAAAATGTCTAATTTACAGCTGTAGAGCAAGTCTTTCCAGAAATCTATCAATTTAAATAACTCTGAAAGAACAGTTCTCTGGCTTACTCTTAGGGTTTTGAATCAACAATCCAAAAGTATTCTTAACACTGGTTTTAAACTTCGAACATCTCAACGTACTTTGGGAAAGGAAAGTAATAATGCTGTCCCCCAAGGAAAAGTGGAAATACTTTGTATTTGTAAATGAAATCTGGAAAATCAGCAGTGGGGATATTCAGAGATTTTGGTTTACATCCCACAAGAAATAAGCGTGTTGGCTTCTGGCCATGATTATTTCCCATGTTTAGTCTGTTACTTGTTAATTGCCAAAACTTAATCATTTAAAATTAGAGTATTTCAAAGAACAGGAAAAAAAAAACAACACCCTACAGTTCTTTAATGCACAGACCCTAGTACCCATCCTGATTAGCACCTACAAGAATAATTATGAGCAGTTGCATTCAAACGTGAAGGTATAAGCTGAAGCCTGAAGTGAAAAAGTAAAGTTGCTCTGTCTCATTCAAAAAAAAAAAAAAAAAAAAAAAAAAAAATCCCAAAGTGAAGAAAGTAATTCCTTGTTTAGAACCAAAATTATGATTTTTTTTTTTTTTTTTTTTTTTTTTTTTTTTTTTGTCACTTTCAATTGAAAATAATTCACTTCTCCAGGCTTGAGCTCGGCAAGAGAAATTTCAGCCCTAAAGTAATTTTCGACACAACTCCAAATAGGGGGCTGTAATGAATGTGTCATTCCGACCGTAACTACAAAACCGCGACGGCAATGATATAATTTCAAAATATACGCGATGATCTAGCCCGGTTTGCATTGTTGGTTTTTTTTTTCCCTCACAAATTATTGATGTTCTGACAGCCCGTGAGGAGCAAATTGAATCGGAGCCGGGAACGCATACGAAACGGTCATCAATAACAAATGGAAATAAATCCTCCCCTGGAATGCGTTGGTTAGGAAATACAGAAGTTGAGGCTCGGCTTCTGAAAACGCACCCACCCTCCATGTCAGGGGGGAGGAGGCAGGATCTTTAGTGCACCAGACAAGCACGGGACATTTATAGGAGACAAGTCATAAACGCTTCAACATGGGCTTCAAACCTCCGCCGCAGCGATGGAAAACGGTGCCTCGGGAGTTCGTGTGGAGAGTTACAGCGGGATTCCAATTTAGTCCGTTTCCCCTTTTACCACCGGAGCAGGAATGGGGAAGACAAGGAGTTTGGCATTGAAAAATCTGATCTCAGACTGCAGGGTTTCTCTTGTTCAATTATTTTACAGCATCAAACGCATCCACCTTGCATACCACAATGATTATTTTTATTTTTTTTTTCCCCCTAAGGACAGTTATAAAACCAGAGTTGCGCTCTGCCCTTAAAATATATATATTACGCTCATGCAATCTTAGAACTTACTCTGTACTTTCAAAATAAATAATAAACTCTCCGGAGACAAAACTCTTTCTCATGGTCTACAGTTTCCAGCACAAAGCTCCCTGGGTCTTCAGCCTTTCCCCAACACACCCACATAGCTCCCAACAACACACACGTGCTACATAAGATTATTTTTCAAACACCCGAGAGGGATGCTACTCTTCATTGCCTTCATTTTACACTTACATGACCCCAGAGAAAACATTTAAGCTTAGTTTATTTTAGCCTAGTTTATTATTATTATTTTTTTTAACAACAGTTGAACCCATCGCTTATCTGAAGATCTCAGAAATAAACTGTTCTGGGCTAAACAAGTTTTTGCTTATATAAAAAAAAAACAAAAACACAGGAGTAATCATCCAGTCCTGGCCTGATTGGATGGTCTTTACTGATGGAGCAGGGATGTTTCAGAGGCAGGACGCAGAAACAGTGGTCCCATAATAAGCCATAATCACGTCCTGCATGAACCCTGAGCCTCCTGCACCGCTGTTTGAAAAGCGCTTTGAAGATACTCCACAATAAATGCGAACTTTACTTCACCTTAATTATCCTTCCAAGGCCTGAGTTAATATTTTATATTTTCGACTCTTAATCTGACCGAAATGTGCACTTTGCCTTTTGGGCTGGATTAAAGGAAATTTAACTGGTGTAGAAATCCTGTACAGAAAAAAAAAAAAAAACACCAAAAAACCACAAACAAAAAACCCAAAAAAACAACCAAAAAAACCCCCCAACCAAACCCTAAAAGAGTCTTTCTCTAGAAAATCTCTCCTAGCGTTTACAGATGAAAAATTATTTCATTTCGGCCTCTCTACCTCCTGCCATCCTGAAAAGCTGAAACGCGTACCTGTCTCTCCTCCGTGGTATGATCCAGCCCCACGCCATCGCGCAGGAGATGGGGCAGCGCCCGCGGCTAATGAGTGGCCGCAGCTAATGAGTGGCTCATGGCTAATGAGCCACCCCAGCTAATGAGCCACCCCAGCACAGAGGACCCACCAAAACCCAGGAGCATCTCCAGGGAACTCAGCAGTGAAATGTGGAGGCTCTTTAGCGGCCGCCGACTCATTCCCCGCGGCTTGGAGTTTGATTATGCTTTGGTTAATGCCTCCCCGGGTCTTCCCAAACGTATAGACACCCCCCCGTTACATAAATTAGTCTTAGTTTATGTTTTGCAGCCTCTTGTCACGCCACTCCCCCGCGCCAGCGTGCTGATTGCTCGGGCCCTTGTTCAAGACACTTCATTTTTGAATGGCTTAAATCTGCACTATGTACTTACTAGGCTCAGACTAGACGCCCCACCCTCATCTTTTCTCCGGTGGTGGCCATAACCTCGTGGTACTAGTCCATAGTCTAATTTTTCTGGCATGTTACAAATTTTTCTTATCCCTCGAAGCCTGGAAAAAAAAAAAATTCCTGGCAGAGCCGGTCCTGCAGGTTGGGTGTGTCCTGTACAAAGTCCTGTTTTCCTTTAAGATTCAACAGGGATTCATCTTCTCTAAGCTTAAGCTCTGAACTGACCTGCCTAGACCAGGACCTGAAGGACGGAGCTGTTGAGCGGCCCCATCGTCCATCCTCCAGAGCAGGGCAGGGAGCATCTTGCGCTGCGGAAGATGTAATTACGGCGAGGGCATGAATCTCAATTACTGCCGGAGCCGCACATTCCTCTTACGCCCAACTGGGTGAGTTATTGCACCTGAGTCTTTACTCCCGTTTTCGTCCCCTATTTTTTACCGGTGTCAAGTTTGTCACAGGGTTCGTGTGGCTGATATTTCATTCTTCCCTAGATGGCCGAGACAGAAATACCTACTAAGCCACCTAGGTCAGTACCAGGTTGTTCTGTGTAATATGCTTTATTGTGCTTTGTTCAGCCAAGTTTTAATTAACTTAAGAAATATGACTTTCCTCCACTGAAGGCTTACAGGAGATTATTCCATCCCCTGCAAGTTTTTTTTTTTGTTTTTTTTTGTTTTTTTTTTCTCTGGGAAAGGACACACGCATTATCCAACGAGACCTGGCCTTTACCCTTACTGCGGTCCTTTTGTTCAGTAGGTCAGCAGCGATTTTAAACTAAGAACCAGCTGCCAATAAAAGCCTGAATCTAAACTCTTCATGTCACAGTGTGCATCTCTCCAGGCAGGTCAGAAACAAAGTAATTTCCACCACCCCCCTCTGTTTTGAGGAAATTCAGGGTTTTTTGTCCCATTGCGCTACACTGAAGATCCATTCTTTAATTTTTATCACCCTATTTATTTTTTTTTCCCTCACTTTCAGTGCAGAAACTGTCCGGGGCAACTTGGGTGCTGCATAGTACAGACATTTAGAACTTTAAAAGCAAATCCAAATCTACCAGCTTCGCATTTTTTTAACCAACGGAGAGCAATAAGCACCTTCAAATGGCAAGTCTTCCAACGTCTTAGAATAAGATGAATGATTCTTTGAACGTTTCTGTTCCTCCCCAGGGGCTGCAGAGGAGGTCAAAGTCGATTAACTCAAGACTTGGATATTTAATTTTTGACACCCAGTTCTGGATAGATGGTTCTCTGTTTCTTTCTTTCTCTTGTAATTCCCTTTTGCCCTGTTAGAAACTCAAGGGACCTTTGATTCACCAAACTCTACTCAACACCAAACTCAACAGTTGCCCTCAGATGATGGCCTGATTTTCTCACTGTGAAGCAGATTTTCAAACCAGTTCACTCAATTCCCCCAGCACTCCTAAAACCATTTTTTTTCCCCCTAAATGAGAGCTTTCTCTTTTTTTTTTTTTTTTTTAAATCTACTTTCAAACATCCATCTTTAGCCAAAGCACTTGGCCCGCTGGGTGTAAACCACCTCAAGCTGCCATCTGCCCATGCTTCACCACCCCCAAGCTGATTTCGGTAAATGTGGGAGCTCTCTGGTTCCCTGACCATCCCTTCCGTCATCGTGCCACACTTTTCTAAGCATCAGTGCAAACTAATGTCAGGCCCGTGCAAATCTGGTGGGCAAACTATGATTAACCTTCACATTCTTCTGTCCAGTCTCTCATAATAGCATGATAATACAATGAATTAATCGTAAAAAAAAAATCGTATAACCATTTTTCAATGCATTAAATGCATCAAACGCAGCTCTGTTTCAAAATCGTTGAGTCCGCTTCTGATTTCTCATAAAAACTAAAAAAAAAAATAAAAAAAATCTTTGTGCTTTACACTGCTGCCCTTTTATAGCCTTTCAGAGGAATCCTAAAGATTTTTTTTTCCCATAATTTTCTATAGAATGGTTGTTTTTTGTTTTTGGTTTTTTTTTTATTTTTATTTATTTTTTATTTTTATACCCTCAGCTGTGAGGGTACAGGCCTGCAGAGTCAGAAAGTCTGACAACCATCACCAGGCACATTTATTTTTTTTTTTTCCCCTTGAAATCAATGGAATTGATTATTCCGAGTCTGAATGATACTTGGCAATATAAACAACGGAGCGCTGTGCATGGCAGAGTTGTTTTTCAAGCCTCGCCACGTCAGGGGTACTTATTCTCCATGGTTTACTCTGCAGCCTGGAGGACAGGGGATATTCCCCACTCGCCCAGCAATGAGTGACGCCTCCAAAATCAAAAAAAGATCGAGCCCCAAAATGCAGCTCAGTCCCAGAACTCACATCTCCACAGTACGACTCACAGAATCCCAGAATCCTTCAGGTTGGAAAAGCCCCTCGGGATCATTGAGCCCAACCCTCAGCCCGACTCTACAAAGCTCTCCCCTACCCCACATCCCCCCACAGCTCATCCCAACAGCCCTGAAACCCCCCCAGGGATGGGGACTCCCCCCTCCCTGGGCAGCCTGTTCCGGTGTTATTGCCCAGATCTACTTTGAAGTTGAGCTTTTTCCTTTCATCCCGTGATTCGAGAACCTACTTCCTCTGCTGCTCCGAGGAGCGCCTGGTGCAGATGACGGCCACCACCGCCACCACCACCACGGTGATGACGCCGACGGTGACGACGATGATGACGAGGAGGTTGCTGTTCTTCTGGGGTGTGACGCTGCCGTGGGGAGGGTGCATCTGCCCAATGGGGGGCTCTGGAAGAAAGACAAGACAACGAGGGGATGGTTAGCGCTAGGGTTTGCTCCTCTCCCTCTTTAGGAGACGCCCATAAAATAAAACACATCAAGCCTGTCAGGTGGAATGAATTCCTCTGAAAAAGCAGATGGAGGGTGCAGAAGGGTGCCATAAAGAGCCGAAATTGATGTCTCGCTGCATTTCAGAGCAAACAGGAAAATATTTAAGCGGTAACGACTTTGCATCTTCTGGGTGTTAATAACCTGATGTTGGGAGTCAATAACTCTCAGCTCATTTTTGCTTTTATCAGCTGAAAATGGAAACACGGGGACTATAGATTTTTTTTTTATTTTTTTTTTTTCTTTGTGGCCCGTATAGTCTTTCTCGGTATTTACAGGCAAATACACATCTTGTGTATCAGTCAACCCCGCTGCCTGATTCGTTTGTCAGGACTGCATTCGCCCCACAGTCGCTCGCACATCGCAATAATATTTCGTTTATTGCTGTGCTGACCAGATCCCCGTGCAACACTTGAGCAGGTTAAGGGCTCAATCTTCCGAAGTGATGAGCTGTTTCGTTTCAATGCAACAACAAGACCAGGACTGAAAGTAACATCATTTATAGCATCAAGTCCCAGTCAAACTGACTTCAAGGACCAGTCCCTTGCTTCCAGCAATATTTTCCCCATTGCACTGGCAATAACACGGTTTATATTTTTCTAATCTTGTTGGATAAGACCTCTATTTGCACGGCGTTGGGCCATACGTTATGGGCACCTGCACGAAACAGCGAGTAATCCTTTTGCTCTGTCTGCTGAGGCAATCTTACAGCCATCCTATAAGATTACAAGCCCCAAATTATCTTCCCACTTGATCTTGCAGAAAAAAAAAAAAAACAAACAACGAAATATTTGCTGCAAGGGGATGCAAAAGGAAGAGCTGTCGAAGAATTCACAAGAAATGTCACGCAGGAGTTTTCATATGGCATCACCCCCCCCAAGCTCCCACGGACAAACAAAAACTGGGATTTCATTTTGACTTTAGTACAACTGAATGTGAAAAAAAAAAAAAAAAAAAAAAAAAAAACTGCCTTGATTTTCCGACCTAATATCCTATTCTTTATTTCATTAATTAGACTAGTCAAATAATTTGCCCTTTTCTCAGCTTTTTTAGGCAACTCAAGAAGACAAGGAGCCGTGAGTGCCATCCTTTCAGCATTACACGGTCTACGGAAATCCCAAAGATTTGGGGGTTTGGTTTCTTTTTCATTTCCACGCTGAGTAGAAGGCCTCGAAGGAACATCCCACATAAAATACAGTGAGTATCAAGACAAAAATGTTTTGTTTTTTTTCTCTCCCTACCCTTTATTGCAGGCCCTGGAGGCTCTGTTTACTCCTTAAAAGTCACTTTTCCTAGATTTGTGATGAATTACTACGCAGAGCAGGACAAAAGCATGAAGCAGTGTTGGCTGTAGCGAAGTAGGACAGAAAAAGGTAATGAAATTTTGCATTCCCTCCTTGTCTCCGCCGTGGAAAATAATCAGTCTTGAGTTAATCAGCTATGCGCCTTGTAATTATTTTGTACTTTCAAACCTCTCTGGATACTACATTTGAGGGAATCTTGTCTGTTGTTTCATTCAACAATGCAAGAGGACAATGCTTCATTAGGTAACGGAGATGGGGTCAGGAATAAGAAGTTATCGATAGCTTATCTACACCCCAGCTGGCACTGATTAGGTTCCGTTATTTTTGGTTAATCCACGGGGTTTCTTCTCATTTCTCCCTATTTTAGAGCAGGATGAATTTTAAAAACGCTGTCTTCTGCAGAAAGCTTGAATTGAAACTGAATAACATAAAATGTGATCTAAAATTCTTTTTAAGCTGTTTTTTTGGTTTGTTTGTTGGTTTGTTGTTTTTGTTTTTTTTTTTTTTTGGGGGGGGGGGGGCGGTTTAGATGCATTCCTATGGCCTGAGATATATCTAAAGCATCTCTTGCGATGGGATGGTCCTACCCAGTGATGTGCCTTTGGGAGTATTGAATCAGCTGGAAAGCTGATGGGTGATTTAGGGATCGGCTTTAAAGAAAACCAAGGCAGAATACATGGCGACCTGACCCTACTTTTCGTCAACATTTTTGCCTGTTTTGCAGCAGATATTTTGCACAACGGAGACGATGTTCAACGGCTGATCGAACTCTTCCCTACAAACCAGCAAGTGTGCAACCCATCAGCGCATGGAGTGGTCTCCAAACCAGGAGAGAAAGGAAAGGGGGAGTAATAAAGAGATGAAAAGTAGGGGGTTATCACCAAACCTGCAATTAATCGCTGGATGGAGCCTGTATTTACCGTTCAGACTGCTCCTGTCAATGAGGTTGGTTTCCACCGGCCAGTAAGCGCCATCCCCGTGTCGACCTGTCGGCAGAAAAATGCATCAGATACGGTGTGAGAGGTCAAGCGGCAAAGTCAAGTTTGTCGCTCGAGACGGCGCCTGTCTGACAACGCTTAAACCATTAAACATGGGAAAAGTCATCCCATATATGCTGAGGGAAATCTGCCATCAAAGGAGGCGTTTGAAAGCAAGCTGAATTTCAGCCCTTTGAGCAGCTTGCCTTGCTCTGTTGGTTTTGGGTTTTTTTTTTGTGTGTGTTGTATGTGTTTTTGTGGTTTTTGTGTTGTTTTTTTTTTTTTTTTTTTTTTTTTCTCCAGATGTGCTCGTTAGAGTGACAAACTAAGGTGTGATGGCAGCATCCGTCTGTGCCCCCTCCACGGGTGACGGGAATAATTCAGACAGCTGCTTTTGTACACAAGCGGCCGCAACGGTGGCAGAGGGACGGTGCTGCAGAGAAAACCACGGGCACGTTCTCTACCTGCCGGGTGGCTTTCCACCACTATTAAGCAAGCTTTCATTTAGTTTCCTGCCTGCGGAAACGCTGTTGTGGAAATACAACTCCACAGCTGCTTGGTTTTTTGAAAAATATGGCTTCTTACCTAACCCTGATGTAAAAAAAAAAAAAAAATAAATGGAAAGGGTGTGTTTATTATTGCAAAAATGTTTTGGCTGTTGAGGCACGTTTGCGCTCTGAATTAATGTAATAAAATTTGAGGTGTTTTTCTTTACTTCTGCTTTATTTTCTCCTATTTATCAGCTGTGGGCTAACCAGCCATGCTATGTCCACATTTCTGCCAAGCCCAGCGGATCTGCTTCCTCATGTCTGACAGAGGAGAGTTGCAAAGGTTGGTGAAGACCTACCAAGCTCTCCTTCATCTCTACTGGTGTGGGATTGAGCTGTCAAAGTCCATAGCAGGAGAGGTTTGGGGTAAAAACCGCTCTTCTGGCCAAAACCAAGCTTATGCCAACAGCGTGTTCTTGGTACGGGGGGACAGAGCCATAGCAAAGCCCCAAATGTGGCCATCTCATTCCTCCAAAAGCTAATTATTTTTTCACTGAGGTCAGATGAACCTTCCCAGGTGGCAAGAGCTCAGCTGACACCAGCAGTGCTCTGCTGGGACAAGTGCTTCAGGGAAAAGATGTTTGTTTTTTTTTCCCCCCGAGACAGACTCAACACGAACTCTGTAAGACACCGTCTTCTTGGCTCTGCCATCCCTCGGGTCAGACAAAATAGTGCCTGAGGGGTTTGGTTGGTGAAGGAATTATGAGAAAAAATTTTGAAAACTTAGCGGAATGATCTGGGATTAGTTCAGGTAGTTTTAACATCAAACAACAACGATGTTTTGGCGGATTAACAAACCCACACCCCACACCGCCCTCCGCCAGTTTCTCACTCTCCTGCAGTTATTTGTTGCTGCTGTGCACTGTTAAAAAAAAAAAAAACCAAACAACAAAACAAAACCTGCCACGTTCCTCTCCAGAGGTACTCGTATCTCTGTGGATTGTGAAGAAATTCACGTGTATAACTCTGTCTACCAATTTGCAAAGTATTTGGTGATGAATGGCCCTAAATAAATGGAAGATGATTATCATCAGAAGAGACTTCAGTGTAATCATCTTTTCAATCAGCCTAATTGCACAGCTACGGCAAACTTGAGCCCGAGAAAGCGAGGTTGCGAAATGTTTAGCCGTAAAAGCAGACAAAATAAAGAGATAAATGTAAGGTACACAGTAATTCTGTTTACCGAGATGACACTCTGAGGCAGCCCTATTCATACTACGACACCGCAGCGCGCGAGGATGTTGTGACCCTGGGGTTATCCTGCGCTTAGGAAACCAGCTCTCTCCATGGGAGATTGCTAAATGTTACTTTTTTTTTTTTTTTTTTTTTTTTTTTTTTTTTTTCATGTTTAGCCCACACTGAAATATCTTAGCGGGCGCTGAAAACATCTGAAAATTTAATCGGGATGTTGGAGACTTAAAAAAAACCCCAAAACCAACCCTGCATGCCCGACTCTGAAGTTTAGTATTTGTTTAATTATTGCAAGTGCACTTTTCAAGGCATTATGCATGACATTTTCATTGTAAAAGCGTTTGTGTAAACAGCTGCCCATTTCATTTTTAGGCTCTAGTAGGGTGACTGACACCCGAAGATGCCATATATTTGAGGTGGCTGCAACACGGAGGCAACCAGGGAAAAGGTTCGGGCTACGCCATCCATCTCGGGGGGGTTCTTAGCCTGGAAACGTGCCTGAACTTTAAAACTTTTTTAAAACTTTTAAGTTTTAAAACCATCCCAAGGCAGCAGAGTCTTCCGTTTTAACCCGCTGAGGGCAACTCTTTCTATAAACCCGACTCCTAATCAGAGGTAATTTCACAGGAAGGCAAATAACTCTTTCACAAACAGCATTTCAACCCTTCGTCAGGGATCACCAAGACGGAATTTATGGAGATTCGACTCTCTTCTGCTATCAAGACGTACAAATATTCTTCAATATTTGGAAAAACACAGAAATTTAAGCGCTTAGGAGATGGGAGGTACATCTCTGATGCATTCTACGGTTTCTTAGGGTAGGTAAGGCTTAAACCTCTAAGGATCACCCATGCTCTGTTCCAAGCCAACACACCTCCACGACTCATTTCTATCTCTAGTTTTCACTCAGCAACAGTTTAGGTTCTATTTCCATTTTTTTTTTAAAAAAAAAAATCAAACCATGTGCGAGAACGTTGCCGCTTCAAGGTCACTGCTTCCCTTGGTTTTAAGGTGGCAGGTTTTGACCACCTTTAAAATAATCTAATTTTAAATTGAAGTTAACCTGCGTGCTTCCCCTCAATCTTCCTCTTCGATATCTTCACTGCACTCTGGTCATAAATTTATAAAACCGTGACTCAGCAGCTGTTTCTTTGAGAACCGCCTTTCTAAATGGAGGTTAACCACTCTTTAACCTTAATTTTCCTACTTTTTTAATGAGTTGGATTAAAGGCGTTTGTATCAGAGATACCAAAACCTGCATCCATATGAACCTATATACGATTTCTCACCTCTCACTTCTCCCTTTAACTTCTGTTATCCCCCAGATCTCTCCAGATCTCCTGTTATCCCCCCCCCAGATCTCTCCTTCTAATGGTTTAGTAATTCAAGCCTTTATATTTAAAAAAAAAAAAAAAAATCTTTTTCCCAAAACTGTATCTCAGGTGCCGTTATATAAAATCAGCATTTCAACTTGGTCTTGTCAAGGCAAAAAAAAAAAAAAAAAAATCAAGTTGTCGGTGACAACAACAGTTTGTTACCCTCTCAGGTCTCCAGCACCTGGAAATTGGCCAAAAATTTTGTTGTTGTTTTGCTGTAAATCTCTTCCCTTTTTCATGCTTTACTCCAGCAGCTTCCCTATTTATAAACTTCAGGTAACACTGCGTGGCCCGGGCAGATTTGTAGACGTTGAGGGAACGTTCTCTCCTTGCAAAACGCTCGCTGCAAGCCAACTACCTGAGCTGGAGGGGGAATGATGTTGTTGTTAACGTTGTCTGGCTCCTCTGCACCAGACACGGCCCTGCACTACCACTGTTGCTGCATTTTGCCTCAGCTCAAAATACAGAGAAAATAAGTTGAGCAATATTGTCACATGAGACAGCAGAGACTATAAGTGATATTTCCTGCCCCGTGGGTGTCCCCCACGGAGGTTCAAGCATGCAAAGCGGGAGGTTCCAGCACACAAAGTCATTGGCTCTCACTGTCAGGCATATGGTGCCATCAGACAAGCTGCTCTTGTTTCCGCGGCAAAGCTGAGCACTTGGAAACCTGCTCCAGGACAGAGCAGAAAGACGGCGAGTTGCCTTCGGGGCAGGGGGTCAGCTCCAGCTTGCTGCTGAGCTGCAGCCCTCCTAGAAACCTGGTGGAATAAGGATGCTCCAACACAGCAGAGTAAGAGTAGAAGAAGGAGACTGGCTGAAAGGGGGCAACGGGAGCTTCTGCCCAGGGCAGACTCACAGACATCTGAGAAAAATGAAAGCATCCCCCTAGAACCTTGTTCAAATTCATCTGGGAAGGTAGAAATACGAGTCAGAAGAGAGAAATGTTGAATAAAACATGTTCTGCGGTTCAGTATTGGTCCAGAGGTTGCTCTTCTGCCTGAGATGGGCAAAGCTGTGCAGCCTCATCGTGACCTTGATGGGAGGCGGGAGGAGGAGCAGTGGGTCACGCACTGACTCCAGAGAGCACCGAGGTGAGGATCCATCTCCCTGTGCGTGGCCATGCACGAGTTTCCTCTTTGGTCGGCAACGAGAGGAGGAAACCACACAATCACGACCCAACCTGCTCATCTGGGATGGGAAGAAGCTGCTTTCTGAAGGCATCCACCTCTGTCTGACGTGGAGATGTACACCATCAGCTTTCGTCGCCGCGGTTCTGCGTCCACCAGCATTGAAACACGAGGACTTGCGCCTTCTCTCCAGCTACGGGCAGCACCTGATAACGGAGCAGACACACTGGTGGCAGCCGAAAAAAGCTCAGCGAAGGCAGAGGCGTTCGCAAATTCGCTCAGGAGCAAGTATAAACCGTCAGGCTTCTTGGGAAGACGCTGGGGCTTGGGGCAGAAACACAAGATTAGGGGAACAGATACCCCAATGCCTGTTGCCTTTCTAGTCCTTCCGTTTTGGGTACATGCAGAGACAGCTGTCTCTATGTCTCAGCGTCGCAGGGAAAGACAACCAATATGCAGGAATAGCCCTTCTTTAAATTTCAAGCATGCCTTGCCTTCTGAGACGCTTTCCATTTTTTGGACCTTCCAAAAGAGTTCCTACACCTGCTTGGTAAACATAGCCAGACGACAGAGTTTGAAAGGCTTTTTTTAAATTATTATTATTTTCCCCCCAGAAGGAGTTATTCTGATAAATGGGGTACTTCTTATTTCTTTTCTCTAGCAAAGAGCGTTACAGACCACTGCATTATTTGTTTAGGAGGCAGGTCTTTGAAAAAAAGATCTGAACTGCTCATCCTTTCACTGCTGCTACGCTCAGAGTCTGCAAAATAGCTTCAGAACGGAAAGCCCGGAGCCATCAAAAGCTTTAGCAGAAAAAAAAAAAAAAAAAAAAAAAAAACAGTCACAGTATGAGACGATGTGACTGGTTTGGGCCTGATCTCAGGCTGTAGACGTCCTGGCAGGTGTTTTCATGCGCGTGCAGAAAAATGAGCACCGGAAGGTTTCAAATGGGCAAAGAGCGACACGCCTGCCATAATCCAACAACGGAATGTTGAACTGCAGAAAGTCAAACTCTAGGTGTGACCGGAGCGCGCTTCAAACCTCCTCGCCCCGAAAGCTGAAGCAAGTGGTGCGCTGTTAACTCACCGCGGTGCAAAATAGTAGGTGTGAGTCAAGGACCCAAAGTTCATCCGTTGTTCAGGAGAGGCAAAGTCCCCCAGCGTCATGTGGAAACCTTTCCGCGTGTCTCCGGGCCGGATGCAAAACCACGCAGACCTCTGTTTTCCTCAAGATTTGGAAAGAAAAGCTGTGGATGTCTGTCATGGATGGTCTTTTCCACGGGCTTTTTGTTGTCCTGGGTATGGTCACTGGCCTTGCTCCAGGCATGGGGAGAGGAGACCGGCCTCCCCATGGCAGTCAACATTAAATCTCAACTTGCAAATATCCAGTTTATGGTTTAAAAAGAGTAATGTCGCATATATAGAGATATAAAATCATACCTGTATGCCTTATGTAACAGTATTCCAGGTATATATGAATTTATTTGAGTAGTCTAAGCATATATGAATTTATCTAGGGAGCTTAAATCACCCGTTTCACAGGAGGTATGTTTTCAGAAAACAATTGAACAATCAAAATGTGTCCGAACTTCCCCAAGATAAGGAGAAACATTCGTTCAAAACTGTGTACGTTTCCTTTGATCAGAGTTTACAGGGGATGTTATAAAACATTTGGAGTCCAAGGGCAGAAATTGAGTTGTTTGTTTGTTTGTTTTCCCTCTCACAGAGATTTAATTCCGATGGCAACGCAAAACTGTTGACCAAATATTGACCAAATACCGACTAAAGAATTTAATAGTGTTTTTATCATATGGAAACAGGGGTAAGACAAAACACAAGGAATGAATCTCTTCTTTGCCCAGTTTGCCTCTATATTAAAATCATAAATAGGGTTTGTTTTTTTTTTAGACTCCACGAAGCCTCTACCACAGCTCATCTGGCCTTGTCCCCTGGACGTAAAGTTTGTGACAAAAATTCGCTCTGAAAATGTAATTTTAGCCTTACTTTTATATTACCATTTTTACTACCTTTGCGTCTCTCTTGCTCGACCGGTTGCACACACGCAAAATAAAACTCTGCGAAGAAGCTGACACATTTATGGGCTTGGCACCCACATTGGATTTAAGGGTTCTGTGGGGACGTGTGTGATTTGATTCTCTCGATACCCACGCTCCTCTCTTTGCCCTTTCGGATAACGGTGTTCCCTCCCCGGGAGCACTGTTTGCATTTCAGCAGCAGGATTTCTCATTCTCTGACAGAGAGCTGAGGACCAAAGCTTCCACAGGACGGGACACGCCAGGCTCAACGCTGTCATGGGCAAAACAAAACGAAGTAACGGAGGTGGGCTATCGCTTGCCTCATTCCTCTTCCCAGTGGTAGCCCCGTCTTGCAGTGGCTGGTCTGTTCTCCCCCAGCGAGTTGCAGCAACAGGGAGTATATTTGCCCTGAGCAAGAAACCTCTGAAATTCTCCCTAAACTCTACTCTCCTCCTTCCTATACTCTCCTCTCCTCCTTACCCTTTTTTTTTTTTTTTTTTTTCACTAAGAACGTCAGCGGTTGTCCCATCTCATCTTAGCAGATCCCACACCTGGGGTCATCCAAGCTCCATCTCCTCGTACCCCTGAACCCTCGGGTGCCTCTGCCCAAACCCCTTGCACGTCACACCCCCTCCACCAGTGCTTCCTTGGCGCGGAAGTTAATTTTGCTTCCTGAACTCGGGAAGCGCGAGTCGTCATTAGAGACAGCCGACCTACCAGAGTTAATTCATGTCACTCAATAAGAATTACGTTCGGGGCAGAGATGGCCCTGAGGGCTTTGTCAAAAGCACAGAGTAATTTAAAAGGCTCCCACCGACTTCAGTCGGCATTGGTTGAGGCTGATTAAAGAATTCAATTTGATGACTTCTAAGGCAAATGAGCTTTCAGAAACTTTGACTTTGTTTGTCTTAACGCTTGTGCTTAGAGCACAGTTACAGTGAGAGCTGGCACCGGCCACTTGTCTTTAATAGAGGTGCCTAAAGGTTAAGCAAATGCAAGCGAAGACCTCAGACGTTGTCTTATTGGAATCCAGCACTAAAACCAGAAGCTGGATTCAGATATCAACAAGTCTCTGGAAGATACAACAAAAGGCTGAGAATTTCTCCTCCTTGCTACTGCAGTCCGAAAAAATAAAAATGCAATGTATTTCAACTACCTGGGGAAAAAAAAAAAAAACAACCCAAAACCCCAGTATTTACACACTAGGAGTGACTGGCTGTGTTTAACTCCTGCTGAGCGCCTCTGCTGTCTGCTGACGACACGTTAACCTCGTTGCAGTTTTGTAAGTTATTCGACTCAAATCAAATCCAAAAAAAAGCCCTCACCCCGCTGGAAGCAATCGGGCTGCCATCCCGACACAGTCACCACCCTGGGGACATGCTTTAGCGTCACGCTGCAAGTACTTACAGGCGACTGGTTGCAATCTTCCTTATTTTTAAACTCTAGACGGAGTATCGTTCACTAAATAGGTTGCAAACACTGTTTGGGCTCTTCAAGAATAATTAATTATTCTGGTGACGGTTCTTCTGGAACAAGGAAAACCCTTGCGAGGGGCACAGCCCAGGAGAACACGATGCACAACAGGAAAAACGGCCCAGACCTCTTTTTTTTTTTTTTTTTTCTTTCCTTTCCTGTGGTAGTTTGAGGAATATGGATTCACCTACCATATACAGAGCAGCTGCACTTAATTTGTCATGCTGATTTACATCTCATTAACAAACTACAGCACAAGGTGGGATAGGCAGGTCTTTGCAGAGGATCTGATTCTTTAAACCTTGTGACGGTGACGGGCCTAAGGTCTCCACTCAATGGAATGTGAAGACTTAAAAATGCTTTTCTACATTTCCTTTTTTTTTTTTTTTTTTTTCCTTTTTTTTTTTTTTTTTTTCCCCTCCCACAAAGCATTGTAAAAATTGTACGTAGAGAAGCCAACAAAATTTTTTGCAGCGTAACATGAAAAGCGGCAAGCAAAAAAAAAACCTGCTCCGATAGACAACCTGAAGAAGATGTGGAACAAATATTGAGAAAGGAGGGAGCAGCTCTATAGGAGGGGTTATGCCCTCAGATCCATTACGCAGAGCAACACGCTCCGTGAAGCACTAAAACACAACCTCTACTTTCCGTCCAGCCTTATTTTTTTCCCCCTCTTTTTAAAAATCCTGAACTTGACACTTTTTCGGTCTGGGGGGATACCTTGTGCTGAAATCTCTCCTCAGTTTCCCAAACCTGCCTGAAAACATCTTAAATGTAAATTAAAAAAAAAAAAAAAAAATTACACTGACTATTTACTTTCAGGCTTCTTTGTAACCTAACCCCTTTACCCTTTAAGAGTAGTTTTTGACTATTCCAACCTGACATTTTCAATTTGAGCGCGCTGTAGTGAAAAAAAACCAAAAATCGCACTGAGCAAACTAGCTTTTGAATTTTATGTTTTGTATCCTTCTACTTCTTTCAGCAAATCACAGGCTGAAATCAGAGGGTGAATTCCCAAAATTGGCTGAGAGCACGTCTCTGATGTTCTACCTCGCTGTGAGACTGTCCGTGGTACCTGGTACAAAGTAAAATCCTAGTGAAGAAATACGCTCTGGGTTACCTCCAGGGATGCTCCAGGCTGAGGTAAAACCTAGGAAAAGGCCTAGAGATGACTTTGATCTTCTAAATAACATTTTCTTGTCTTCTCTAGGAATTATCCATTGCAAGTTAACTCCCTAAACTGGGGTATGACGGTACCCATTAAGTCAAGCTGAGGACTTGAGGTTTACACCTCAATTTGCCTTTTAAACTAGCGCTAAGTCAGAGCTCAAATCCAAATGAACCTTCCAAGCTCAGGCCTGACTTTTCCAAACGTCACCGTGACTGTTTCCCCGGGCAGATGTCACATAAATGAACAACGCTCTAGCTGCAATTGAAAGACTTGGGAATAAATAGGTCTAAAGTCAAAAAAAGTTTTTTAAAAAAAAAAATCTTAACCACAGACTTCACAAGTATTCGAAAGGAGATAGGAGCGGAGGAACTGGGACTAATCCGACATAAATTCCTATTTGGAAAATGTAATGATAATGCCTTGAAAAGTTGACTAAACTTTGCTATTGTTAAACAGAAGCTGCCGGTTTGAGAGAAAAGAAGATTTATGACTTCTCACTGTGAGGCTTTTGAACTTTACTCTATAACCCACGAAAGGGTGCAAAGAGGAGCCTGGAAATTATGCTGAGCTTAATTATACTTAATGTGAATTATTCAGAAGCGCGGCCGAGAGACTAAAAATTTATTTCATACAAAGAAGCTTGACATATTAATTGGTCCTTCAGAAAAGAGACAAAACAATTTCCTCTCCCGAAAATTTACATCTTCCCCATCAAAGCAGCAGCCTCAGCCGAGCAGAACTTCATTAACAAGATTAATTATCCCGCCAGCCTCTGCCTCATCAGGTGTGCAGCCCAGGTGAAAAGCGTGGCCCCCTCCCCGAGGCTCCGGCAGAAAAGGCGACAGATTGAGGGCACCGTACCTTGGTCATTAGCCATTTTGTCAGGGTGCTCGACTGCAAGAAAGAGACAACGTCATTAGAGGCTGACAGCTCCGCGCAGGCAATGCCGGAGAACCGCGAGGACAAACACAGAAGCACAGAAACACAGAAGAGCTCCGCGGTGGAAGGGACCCACAACGATCGCCGAGGCCAACTCCCTGCTCCTCGCAGACCTCCCTAAAACTAAACCATAGGGGTGAGACCAGACGCGCCCTAAATTCTGAACGCACCTCGACCCGTGCCTCAGAGCGGATATTTTTCACCAAGTTCTTCACCTGCTTCTTTGCTGTAGCTTTTTTTTTTTTTTTTTTTCCATTCTCTTGTTCTTTTTCAATATGATTTGGGAAATTTAATTAAGCCAGAAAGAGAGACACACGCTACTTCTTTAAATAACTACAGTCAAAGCACCTACAAGCCGAAAGCTCAGTCTGACTTCTCATTATTTCACATTTTTACAAAGGGTTTAAAACTATTTACATCTTTTTTTTTTTTTTTTTTTTTTTTTTTTTTTTTTTTTTTTTTGCCTAATAACCATAAAAGAGTGATCTGAAGTGCACCAGATAAGGCTTCAAAATCCAATAGACGGATTAAAAGCCTTCTTGCAGAGTTACAACTTCTGACTATTTATGATACGGCTGAGGGAATTAAACTTTCCTCCGATTCATCACCACCATGGAGCATTAACCAGTCCTCTGCTTAATAAATTATGCAAGAATCTTAAGTACAGGAAACTGGGGGGAAAGGAAGTGAGTTGGCAGGTGAATCTGGAAGTCAAATAACCAGTGCCTGCGGGCGCAGAGCGTGCTGCTCCCCTCGCTGCTAAAATCCCTACAAAGCCTCCCCTGCATCATGGCGTCTCCCTAGGAACATCCCTACTGAACTGGCACAAATTTCCATTTACTGACACATCGGTGAGCTCCAAGCTTGTGGCAGAGGGGGAATAGCTCCTTCGATGACCCCTATATTTTTTTCCCCCCCCCTTCCTTTCAGACTTTTTCACCCACATGCAAAGAACAGGGATATACGGAGCACATTGCCTCCAACTTTTTAGAAATCTGTCAGCCTGTGCCTCCCCACCAAGCCCTACCTCGGCCGTCACCTGTCCCTTAGGACAAATATATTCCTGAAAATATGAAAATTTGCTCATGACTGCAGTTACCTGTGTCGATTAGATGCTGCCCTGGCACCACTCGGCGTTGGGTGCCTTCTCCGGGCAACGGAGGCACGCAGCCTTGAAGCCCAGGTGGGCAATCTTGGGCAAGGTCATGGAGGGGGGTTCACATTCCAGGTTATGGACCAGGAGGTGGGTTGTTTTGTTTTTTTTTTTTTATGAACCACGACAATGAGGCAGCATTAGAGGGCACTGCAGGGCTAGAAATGCTGCCCCACACCATCCTTGCCAAAAGGACGGGTCAAGGGGGGACCGGCACCATCTGGGATTTCAGGGATTTTTTTTAGAAAAGGCGCAGTGGCAATTTTTAATCTAGGGTCCCGTCGAGTTTTCCTTGCTGATCTTAACACGATGGGAATATCTGAGAGTGCTATGACCTCTTCCTCCCTCTCTCCCTTCCCACTCTTCCCTCTCAAACCTCATCGGATCCAGGGTTTTATTCATTATGTCCGTAGGTGCATTAACAGGCCACTTGCTCCAGTTTATAAGTATCGGTGTAATGTTTTGTGTGATTCCGGTAAGCAGACTACTACTCTTTCATTTTCTTTAATTAAAGTTGCTTGGCACTCAGGGAAGGTCTTTGTAAATGCCGGCTGAAATCCAGAATAAGGACGGCTGAGCAGAAGGAAGCGTAAGCACATTTAGTACCGTTGTGAGATTTGCTCCTTTCTGCTAAAAAAAACCCAAAACCCACCCAAATCACCAACCAATTCTTTCCAAGACTGAGGAAATCCCTCTTCTCGTCTGTCTGCCATCGGTTCATTCTTCCCCTCTAGCTGTCACATCTCATCGGGCAACTGCAGATTTTATTTATTCACTTCCGCCGTTTCCCCGATTTCCGAAAACGATTCATTTATATGCCGTAAAAGTCATATAACATCAAAAGCTGGACTCTCACTTCAGGGGCAATCTGTGATAATACGCTGCGAAAGGCTGCATAATGCACGTACTGTTTGGGCCCTCTCTGCTCCTCTTCCAGAAACACCCACATATATATGTATGTATACAAAATATTACTGAAGTAGGAAGTAAGGAGTAAGAAAAATCCTAGTGAAAACCTCAAATTTTGGTGCAAATTATACACCAAAAAAAAGCAGCCAGATGATCAATCCCCTGTTATCCTTCTACTCCAGGTCCCTAAGACTGCGTGTATCTGATTCTCCACGGTTTAAGTGATAAATTTAACCAGCCAGAGCATCAAAAAAAAAAAAAAAAAAAAAAAAATGTAAACTGTCGCGGACTGATTGAAGTTCGCAGTGTAACGACAATTTACATAAGTTAAGGATCTCCCCATTTGCCTGTTTATTATCATCAGTGGAGCCGAGGTGGAAGAATATAAACTCACTGCTCCGTGGGAGTGTTATTTACTACTAAACATATCTCTTTCTCACAGATCACTACATTTTCATTAGTAAAGGAAAGTCGCTGCAAATACTCACGTTGCAATTACAACACAAGGAACGGCTCGGTTTCCTTGGCGGAGCTTTATGGGCTATAATATAGGAAATGAGACAGCGGGGTGACTTAGTGGATCTTTGATGCTTGTTTCGTTCCTCGTGATTTAAAACTCCCTCAGACCGGGGCAGAGATTTGCCGTGCGAGCACGCGGTACCATCTGGCACACGCGCGTCTTCTGTTAATAATCGTTAAGGGCAGGGAAACCAACGGGTTTTTTTTGCGCAATTCAGAAGGCGCTCAAGACTTCAGAAAGTCTTTTCACCTCAAGCGCAGGGATAGATTCGTCAAAAACCCCTCCAGTTGAATCGAGTTGAACGTGACATATTTAGGGTGGGTGTCATTACGTATTCATGGCAGGGTGTTAGACATACTCCTTGTAGGCTATTACAAGATGGAACAAACGTATAAATTCATCTTTTTGGTATCTGTTGATGCTGTCTGATCTACAATTCATTTCCCAAATGAGCTCCATGGTACTTTGTGTAAACATCACAAAGTAGGTGATATCAAGCGCATTAATCTTTCGGTTTAGTTAGATATCTGGGCCTCTAGATCTTTTCATATCTCATTAGCCTGCCGTTATTATATTTTGATGCCTTGACTCGTTTTAAACTCAGCCTAATAGACTACTTCTGCTTGGCACAAATTGCGAGCATGAAATTAAGTTGGCACCAGCCGCTTGATAGAGATGAAGCACCCGCAAAGTGCTATCTCTTCACATTTCATGGCAGAGGAGAATGAATAATCAGGATCTTACCAATAATTCATTCAAAATGAAACATGACTCGGACAAGTAAGTCCTGCAAACCTGGGCAGGCGGTGATAAGCTCAGAACAAATTGATACAATTTTTAATCTTTTCTTTTTTTTTTCTTTTTTTTTTTTTTTTTTTTTTTTTTTTTTTTTTTTTTTTTTTTTTTTTTCCTTGCGACTTCACGAAAACCGTTGTATGAAGCTTTTCGCTCCCCGCCTGAACGGTCGATAACGTGCTTTAGGTATCGGGGAAGGAAAAAGGACAAGCTCTTTGCTGAGAGGACTCAGGCTCATCCATCGAAATCTTTCCTTAACGGCTGAAAATAGGAGTTTCCCCTCCTGCCCTCGGAGGCGGCCAAAAAATTTCTTATTGGTTTGCTGAAAGACGAACTCGAATACAAGCTCTCACCACCCAACCAAGCAAATCCTCGCCACGGGAAGGATGGTGGGTCGCTTCTTCCCTGCAGCCATTGCGCTTGGCTTTTGAATGAGCTCCCGTTAAATGAAGTCACTTATAACTGATTAAAAAGAGGCTTGAGCGTGAACGCTAATTCCAAGGCTCTCAGGCGCAGGTTTGAGGCTGAATCTCTCTCAATTTCCCTCCAGTCGTGACTTCTCAGGCCCAGCCTGCATCCAGTTTCAATTACTTTCTGCCAAGATGTTATTTTTATATACAAATCCCTGGATTTTCTCGAGAGAAGACACAGCTCTAACGTGCCCTCTCCTGTGCCATGCTTCTTTCCTGGAATAAGTTCTCTATGTCATTTGATTTTTTTCATTAATTACATGTCTTTTTTTTTTTTTTTTTAATGTGCAGATGAATGAGTGACAGTTAAAATATAAGGAGCAGAGCTGCAGCAAGCACCCTGCTTCCCACTCACGGTGATATTACTTACAACTTCATAACTAATAATTTCTGGGTAGATTGTGTCGGGGTTTCACACAGCCAGGCAGCAGGTAAGGAGAGAAGGGGAATATCTCTCCACATTCATTTGAAATTGAGCTCGATACAAGGACAATCCTTCACTCATGTAAACACATCGGTGCTGAACTACCCGCCAAAAAAAATGTGAGTGCCCTTGTTTTGCCCGCTCCTTCTCCCTGGTCACTAAGGGTATTAATGAGTCTGTTAATAAGAGGGACTGAAAAATATTTGGAACTACTCTCCCCACACAAAGTCAAGCTGCATCTCAGCCTGCTCAGATTTTTGAATTGTGATTTTGTATGCCTACTCCGTCGATAGGAGTGAGGCGCTACGGTTCCTATAGTCACCAGAGGATCCAAAATGAAAAGGGACCTCCCTAGAGAAATCCAGTCAGATCCCATTAGCTTTTTATTGCGAGCAGAAAATTTAGGTGGTGTCAGAGCGCTTTCCCCCAGCTGATTGAATTTAAAAAATATAGTTATCGCCTCATTATGTGCTTTCCTTTTGTCAACTACTCTACGTAGCGCTTTGCTTTTATCTCTCAATAATAGTTTCAAGTAGTAGGATCTCTTCTGGCGGACACGGAATTAATTACAAAGCTCCCACGGAGGCGTAAGAACATTGTACATCATCAATATCCAGAGGACACAGATCCAAACCTTTCAGCGTCCGGAAGAAAATGGGATCAGAGAGGGGCCCCACACCCTTGGCGTTGCGCGCTTGGATTCTGAAGTAGTAGACGGTGTCCAGGTTGAGGTCCATGATCTGGTGGGTGAGTCGGTCGCCGCTGATGGACTCCATAACCCAGTCATCAATGGGAGCGTTCTTGTCCAAAGTGTAGAAGAGGATGTAAGCTGAATAAACACAGTCTCTCAGTTAGTACTGCACCTTTTAACGTGCCTCCGTTACGAAATACAGATAAAAAAAATGCCAGTTTCTTAAAAATTAGGTTTTTCTAAAAGCAAGGACGGCGGCTCTCCAATCAAAATCGCGATGAGGAATGTTATAACAAACACGTTTGTCTATTTTTAGGACGAACCCGCAATTACAGTCTTCACTGTAAGAAATACGGATTTAAGAAATATAAAAAAGGAGGTAAATTTTAGATGCTGCTACATTAATAGCATTTAAATCCTGCTACAAATACGTTTCTCGACTTCAGGTGTGCCGTGCAGTCCGAGAGCTGCCATAAACCATAGGACAGAAGTCCTGAGTGTTTCAGTGCTGAAATAAAACTAAATGGTATTAATGACACACACCAATTAGTGGCTGCTTATGGGAAGCCCTGCAATATTTCTTGGCAGCTGCAGGGGAAATTATTTGGGGGAAAAGAATGAAGAAATTAAAAATTTTGGTGACGCAAGAGCACTACAGTAACTGCTTACCACCGAATTAAACTGAAAAGCTTTAGGACTTAGAGACTAGAGGTACCTGTGTAATAAAACTGGAAAGTTTTAGAACTTAGAGACCAGAGGTACCTTTGTAAATAACAGGTTTTTAGTTTATTTTTTTTTTCTGAAATAAAGATGCTTTTCAAAACTCATTCTGCATGAATGCTCACACCGGCCACAGATCGGTAGTGTTGGGGATATGTTTTTGTGCGGACTTTTTTTTTTTTTTTTAATTTTATTTAGAGGCTTGCAGGTTGGGCTTACTAAAGCAGTTTCTCCAACCGTGACACCTGAATTAATAAAGTAATGAAAATATAAATACGTTTTTCTTAAATGAACAGAAATACACCCGCTCAGGCATTTGTAGGGATGAAGGTTTGGTTGTTAGGGACATTTCTACTCCCCGCAAGGAATAGTTTCCTCTGCTTGATACCTCTAAGAAACATTTGACCACAAAAGCAGTAAAAAAAAAATAAAAATAATCCCCTTCTTAACCAAGTGCTACGAGAAAGAAGTTTGTGCAGGGGACCCAGTCAGCTCTCAGGTCTAGAACACTGCTGCCGATGGAAAAACTCTATAAAAGTTGCTACCGCGAAGTCATTTCGTGTCTTGGAAGTCAGGAAAGCTTTTATTTTATTTTCTCTTTTAGTCGCTGGGGACATCAGGACCATTAGCATGCATTTCAGCGTGCTGTCCGTCACAATGATCATTTCTTCCCTCTAATGGCCAAATTAGTGTAAACAGAGCCATTTCATCAAAACATCCTCCTTTCGGCCACGGTCACGGGTTGTAAAGTCCCGATGATAATGTAGAGGGAAATTATACGCAGTTACACAAGCCTAGCCTAGGAATCGTTATTGCTGGGCGATGTCCACACAGAAATATATCCTGATTTGATTGGTAACATAAAGCGGGATGCTTTCCCGGTGTAACTCACACCAGCTCATCCGATGCCAGTGAAGCCCTGATGAGTTACAGCGGCTAAAATCCGACCCGGTGCTCTTCAGTGCTAACGGCTCACACAGGGCATCCTTCTGAAGATTTCTTCCTCTTACAACGGATATTTTGCAGCTCTGCAGCAGCGTGGTGCTGGGATTACCAGCAGTAATAGTCACCTACACACACCTTCTCCCACTCGGAAAACTATTGTAGAACTGGTCTAACCCATGTTTGTAGCAACGTGACCGTAATGAGCACATTTTGGAAGACAAGGAATCCTTCTCCTAATAATTCTATGGCTCGGAGCTGGCTGTTAGCAGCCTAAAATGATAATTTAAATGCAAAATCTCAGAGAGAACTCCACTAAATTTTTCAAACTCAATTAACACTGACGCTTTGCAACAGAATTCTCAAGTAGGCACTAAGGTTATATGTAGTATTTTGGAAAAAAAAAAAAAAATATTGTGAAGCATTCATTAAGATCACTACTTGTCAGTCAATATTAGGGGTTTGTCCTGATCATCGCCTTAAATCGTTATCGTAAAATTAAACATCCACCAATAAATTCTCCCATGATGCGCTCCGCTGAGCAACGTATCATTATGTATATTATGTATATTATGTATTGCACTATTGCCAAACAAAGTGCTTATTATAGTCATTTCTAATTATCACCGAGCAGCACGTACCACAAAACATTCGCTTCAAGTGCCGCATTTCTTTTAACTTATATCACTGCTCTTAGCAGTTAAAAGTAAAGGATTTGCATCCCCGGAGTTCTAGCTCTGGCAGGATTCCTGCATCCTGCGACCATCGCCTTGAATCCTAGACCGAGTTGGGTGGTAAAAGCAAGTGACAATAAAATAACGTTGGGTCGAATAGCACCCAAGCAAACAAACCAACAGAGGGTGAAAGCAGCAAATGATGAGTAAATAAATGGAGAGTGCAGGATAACGTAAATGTTTACCAGTAATTTTCCCATTGGCTTCCAGCGGCGGCTGCCAGCTGACAATGACAGCTCGGGGCTTCCCTTCCCGTGTAATGACTGTCAAATCCTTGGGAGCCGAGGTTGGAGCTGAAAATAAGAGAATAATGGAAAACAGGAGTTATCCACCTTTGGTTTGAATTCCTTACACTCTGTAGCAGGCCCGCACTACTCCGTAGGCGTTCACCGCTTTCTTACACCCCTTCGCATGCGAGTGTCCTTCTCTGTACTTCAAACACAGAACATGATTTGTCTAGAAGGGATATTTTAACAGTGAAATTGCAGAGCACGCTGCCTGTGGCTACGTTAGGATTTGGTAGATTGTTCTTTACCCTCCTACCGTCCAGCTAAACAACCACCGAGGCATCCAAGAACATCCAATATCTTCTGGGCGCCGTATACATTTAGTCACGGCAATAACGCCGTGGCTTCTCTATTAGGAACATTTGTCGGTGTGTGCCAGTATAAAAGAAAGGTAATTGTGTATATTCATTAAATATATGTTCAGCTTTGGGATGTATTATGATAGAAAACTCTCAGCTTCGGATTTCTGAGCCTGCTTTGCGCCCTGCTTTACTAATGCTGGCCACGGGGCCTCGCACAGCTTCTCGGCTATTTTTAAATTGTACCATAAGACTCTCGAGGAGAAGGGAAAAACAGGCAAATATTAAAAAAAAAAATAGTTAAGAGATTGGTGCTGAGCTCGTTGTTCCATTTGGTACAGGCTGTAGCTGACTTGGAGCGTACCGATATCATAACAGCATGGAGAACAGAGTGTAGGGGCATCCCATCATCCCTGTCCTACCCATATGGCCACTAAATAACTGCCTTGAAGCTTCAAAGAAGTGCCCCGAAGTCCGACTTTAGGAGGTAAAGCTTTAAAAATCCGTTGGATCGTGCTGAGCTCAACCAGCCCGATCTAAAGCACGGACACAAAGCTACAGGGTGAGGAACGTTCAGTGATCTTAAACAAGAAGAAGGAAGGGAAGAGCCAGCTGCTGTGCAGGCTCGCCACCTGACGCTCTGTGGTAAATTTACGGTGGATCATTTCTTTGCTACTTTTGCTGGAACAATACGTTCAGTCCGCTATATCCGGAGCCATCGCCACCAGGACTCACAGTGTTTCGCTTTAGTCTTTAGTTCACATTAGCTGCTCCTCGCTGGGAGCGTCTTTCCTAGCCCGGAGTAGGCAAACCACAACACAAGCTCCCAGATCTTTTGAGAAGTTTCTTAAATCATCAGCAATGCCCAGCATGACCTGAGCTCCCACGTTGACGTTGTTCTTGTCGTTCTTGCTTATTCTTATTATTTCTCAAGAGTCTTGTGTTGCATTTAAGAAGCTACTCAGCTTGCAGCCAGCTTGGGACACTGGCCCATCCGTTTAAAACCAGTCTACTAGAACAAACTTCTTGGGCTGCCTTGCTGTTTCAGGGGACTGCAAGTGATAAGCCTTTTTGCGAACGAATCACACTTGATTTTCGAAGTAAAATTTCCTTTCTCTTTACTTTGGCTAAGCCCAGCTTGTAATTATTCTCCAACTCCACATAAACGACTGTATTTCCACCAAAGTGCACCCAACAGCATCTTTATCTTCAACACTACTTCTCTGTTCTCTGATATTAACCCTTTTGCCATGTTTTCGTGACCTAACCCTTTCCCTTCCGAGACTTTTTGCCTTTTTGTGAGGTTAAAGCAGTAAGGCCGGTAGGCTTCCGTGGTGTAACACAGGCTTTCCACACTGGTTACTACCACATGAGTCCCTCTGAGCGGCTGAAGTTGAGCTCCACTTGCAGCAGATGGTGAACAGAAGATGCCGTGCGGAAAAAGCGAAGCTTTCGATGTTTCCCTTAGCGCTCATTAACACCCCTCATATCAGCAAGACCTGTGTAGGCAGATCTGGGGATGGCACTTGGCTCTGAAAGTTGCTTTTGAATTACGGGCAGAACTATTCTCCCCAGCCATGGTAGTAATCTCCAGTGAATTCTGTATCAATGCTGATATGTACGTTCTTTAATATCATTACGGGAAATCCAACATGCGGAATGGGTACAAAATAGGCAATAAAGATCAGCAGTGCACGATGCCCTTAATTAACAGAGCTGCTCCATCAAGCTCAGATAATTGCATTGCAATCACATGGGAAAATCTAAGGACACATATATTCCCTCTTATTTTCCCTTTGTTAATTAAGTGGCGTGTACTGTGGTTTTCATTTAAACAAAAAAAAAAAAAAACCCAAACCACACAACAACTACATGTGTTATCTGCTGGTAGAAACCAATTTGGAATGGCACCTAGAGTCTTTTCAAGGCCACCAGTCACCCTCGGGAAAATATAGCGCCTGCACTACATTGGTGTCCAAATTGCTGTCGACAACAGACGACGAAGACAAAAATATCTGAGGCAAACCCACCGACGTTCTTATCTACGGACAAGGGACCGCAGCAAGAAATACAGGCAATCGTAAAGAAGGGGGGAAATCTAGTGGTGAACAGCTTCATGAAGTTCAGTGGAGCTATTTAAATGGAAATCTCAGGAGTTTCAAGGTTTTTTTATTCGAAAAAAAAAAAAAGTGGATTTTACCCTTGTTTAAAGACAGTCTAGGGATCAGGATTGGTGCTGCCATTAACGCCTACCTGATAACTAGAAGTAAAGCCTGGGCATGCTATTTCCCTACTGTGGTTAAGAGAACTAAACAATTACATCTTAGAGAGGATGTTCTTATCTATAGAGATCGCTACGTCTCCATCCCTTTTCAAATATTTTTCTCCCGCTGAGCTAGGGTTGTATCTGGTGTCTGTTATCAAAACGGTATTTAGGCCCCTTCGGAATCGGAAGTATCTTTCGGGTCAGAGCTTCCTGCTTGGAAAAGACCACTCAGTTGAGAAGAGCAGCTAAATTAAGTCTTCAGAGCGTATCTCAGAATCATAGAATTGCAGATTGGGTTGGGTTGGAAGGGATCTTAAAGGTCATCTAGTTCCAAAACCCCCTCCCCCGGGCAAGGACACCTTGCATCCACCAGCTCAGGTTGCTCCAAGTCCCGTCCAACCTGGCTTTGAACCCTTCCAGGGAGGGGGCAGCCACAACAAATTTTTTTTTTTTTTTTTTTTTAATAATAAAAGCTTATTTTTAATATTAATGACTGCTTGCTGGAAATGAAATACAGGTGTATAAGAACACTGAGCTGCCTTACCAAACTGTCAGCAGGGAATTTATATAAGCCAACATTTCACACAGGGTAGATTATTTACAATAAATAATGAACAAGCTGAAAAGACTGTTCACTAGGCTATTTGTTGTTGTGTTTTGTTTTTTTTTTTTCCTCCCTCTCTCTGTCTCTAATTTTGCACACACCGTTTCAATCGCTGTAACTGTGACTGTAGGTCTTGGCTTGGACTGAGGCATTGGCCACCAGCACAGCGCACAGCAAACAGCTGAAATAAGTCCACAGAATATTATGAAGAGACCTGTGAGTCAAACCCCTAAGTTAAGAAGGATGTGTATTAGGTAGAAGCATCACTGAGTCTTTTTTACTGAGTGGATAAGACGGGGAGTCATGAACTTGAGACAAAACCACGTGGAAGTTTGTAAGCCAAAATCTTAAAGAAGCAAAATCGTTACCTAATAATGAGAGAATAATCATCATAAAGGATTTAAAATCAGCATTAAAAGTCACAGATATGGGGCAAAGCGTTACACACACGTACTATCATCACCTAACCTTGCGGCGACACACGAGCTCAGTAGAATGGCTGCTTCACTTTGCTGCCCATGAAAAAAAAGCGAAAAAATAAGATATTTTTGTCCATAAACCCGTGGTTTAAGCAGTTAGGATGAACCCGACCAAGGCTTTTAATGACAAAAAAAAACCCAAAGAAAGCCTTTCTAGCAGCTCTTGCCATACCTGCTTCGTAGGTGGTGGCGTGGGCAGTCATGCTCCAGGTGCTGGACCGCCGTCCTTTGGTGACCATGACGGAGAACTCGTACATGGTGTTTGGCTTCAGACCGATCACGGTGTGACTCAGAGCGGTCGTGTCTGCCGACTGCAAAGAGACCGAGGGGAGGTTGTCTTTAAAGCCACTCTTTTGGCTGCTAGCCCAGCAAAACACAGTCACAATAATTTTTATTTTTTTTTTTTTCCCCAAGCAAAATAGCTGTATTGCTACCACGCACCTTAACAGGGGTATTTTTAGTACCACGGGGAGTTAGATAAATTATTGTGATGCTTTCTCTTTCTCTTTTCCCAGACAAAGCAATTTGCCATGCTTTAAAATTTATTTTTTTTTTTTTCAAATGGAAATTGGAAGCTAACCCTATGGCCTTCATCGATGCCCACAGAAGTACAAAAAAAAAAAAAAAATTAAAAATAGAAACATTTCCATCATTTAAACACTCATTTGCAGCCTCTTCGATGGGTTCCTTCAAATAAAAACGTTTTGAAAATCTGATTTTTAGTTGGGGGCTCAGAAAGTAGTTTTACCCCCGGAATGGTCCTGCCTAACGCTTGCCAGTTCCTGGGGTTAACGTGGATTTATGACAGAGGTTGAAATATGAGCTAGAACACCTGCACAAAGATGCATTTTTGTGTCCATAAAACACACTTTTGCTTGGTTAAATACGTTATATTATCGATCTGGCTCGCTGCGATGTGTTTAAGCAACTAAACATATTGATATTGATGTGAATATTAAATTGCTCATTTATTTTTAGCTGATTTAGCTTTTTAGCCCTTAGCCTGCAGTAAGGAACGATCCGAGCTAAACGGCGCTTGTATCAAAGGAGACAAGTGAGAAGAAAAATATGGGACAAATCGGGGACGAGTGAATAAAATCAATTCCCACGCATTTCAAACTGCAGAGCCCGGTGTGCAAAGCCCCAGCATCAACAACTTACAGGCCAGTGAGTAAACCTGGTGCACACGTTTCTGTGTTCATATACCCACGGACTGAAATTCACTGAGTAAGTGTATGACTTCGCATCGAAAGTCCGCCCTGAGGTTCACATTTGGGAAGTTTTTCCCCCAAGACATCTTGCCGGCGTCCGTCAGTAGCGCCATTGTGATGCTAACGGTCAGATGATTCAAAAATAAATCAACTTTGACTAAAACCGGGGCATCAGCACTCCTGTACGTGGCAGAATGAAGCAGCAATATTCAAGGGGGAGTGGGATAAATTTCCTTCGCAGAGACATTAATGAATGGGCTACGTCTGCCTACATGGCACGTTGCTTTATCACAAGTGCTCTGACAGATGTTTTGCACGCTACTTACTAGGAAGACTTAAGGCAATACCACATTTTATCCTTTTCATAATTAAAACTCCTAGTTCTCAGGAATCAGCACTTTCGCAAGTTATTCATACTCGGGGTTTACTCCAGCAGAGAATCCCCCTCTATAAAATATCTGCTTGAAGCAAAGACATCGCCTCTGTGTTCATAAACTACTCAGTGACTTGCCCGAGAGGGCAAAATCTACCTGCGAGAGTTTATACAAATTATTCTTTTTTACAAATTATTCTTTAGACAAATTGTCCTTTATTTTACACATTTATTCTTTATACCAATTATTCTCATTTATATATGGCTGGATTTCAATATAGGGAATAATAATTTTCTCCCTCCGGAAAGATTCTGGAAGAAATGAAATTATTTACGGCATAAAATTACTCCTCAGCATGACTGAGGGTAACTAAATCTGATAACTATCGCTGTGGAAATCCTCAGATATTGCACACGATCAGGAAAAATTCACATGAAAAAAACAAAAAACCAAAAAAACAAACCAATAAGCTTTGAACCTATTCCTGGACAAAAATAGTTTTTAGCAGAACATAAAGATATGGGGTTCTTTTTTTTTTTTTTTTTTTTTTAAAGTTATTTTTCTCCAGCCGAGTGTTTTTCTTTGATTGTTTTTCTCAGTGCTAAATAATAGCATTTTAAAAATCGAAACCACCCTTGAGATCGGTTTCGCGTTGGGATGAAGGGGGGTGTAACTGCAGCAAGTACCTTTACTAACGCCATGCCATGCCTTTTTGGGATAGTTTGTACCAAATAAAGTTGGCGGGGCAAAGTTAAATTTATAAACTCCCAACTTCAAGACTTAAACCCTTCATTGTATTAAATCTGATCTGCAGTTTTGAAGCAACGGGAGACCTGAATGGGAAAATCTCAAAAGACTTGGAAATTCAATGCCAATGCACAGGGAAGTGCTTTGGGAACTTATTCGTGAGCCTGATCCAAAATTTTTAGAAGAAAAAAGAAGTTTTCCCTGCTGTTTTCAAAGAGTAACATAATGGGTTTTATCTTGCTTCCTTGAAAAAAAAAAAAAAAAAGGTTATTTCAAGAAAACAGATCTTAAAAACATTTTGGATTGTTTCTGCTTCTGGGTGATTGATCTGGAATAAACGAATCAGATCGGCTCCTTACGCTACCCACAGCCCAGCTAAACTAGAGATGGTGGCAAAAAAAAAAAACCAAAACAAAACAAAAAGGAATTTAATTCTTGCTCCTTTCCCTGCAAACTGGGCCTTTCCTCTGCTCTACTCACTTTGTTGGGCAGGGAAATCCATCTCCAAACAGGAGTCAGATGGAGGCAGGGCATTGAAACGTTCCGACACCCTTAATTACCTAAGAGCTTGTTACAACTGCACGAGCATAAAAAAAAAATTTGTGTCTAATATTGCATCTGAGGTCGGCAGAAGTATGGCAGTGGATGTAAAAACAAGGTATTGGCCTTTTATCCCCTGTAAAGTTGGGTTATTATGTAAAAGCTTTACAGCGGGTCAAGCACCTGCAGCAAAAAGGCAGCTGACCTAAGTCTCCTCTCAGCTGCTGTGAACATAAATTGGGAGTAACTCAAGTGAAACGGATAGTTTGCAGCGGCACGTGGACTCGGCCGAGGGCCAGTGAGCCAAATTTGGATGGACTAGTGTCAGGGGGAAGAGCCGAAAAATCCCACTCAGCAACGGGGCTGAAGGCAAGAGCTTCTCCACCGTCCTTCCCACCTCTTCCAAAAATTCCCCGGGGAAGATCTCGAGGTGAAGAGTCTGTAGGGTATGCGTACGCCAACCCTGGAAGGGGTGGAGAGCCGTTGTCTGGGGTTTAGTAAGGCCAATTTCTATTTAGACACATCACTCGGGCTCTAATCAGAGGAGCCTTGGTGGTGGATAGAGCACGGCAAGCTCCACGATCCTTGTAAAAATGACTTGTACGAGGCTGCTTTTGTTAGGACAGAGAACGGTAAAAAAAAAAAAAAAAAAAAAGCCTAAAGGCTGTGCTTGTTCCTTCCCATTCCCTGTCCCACCGTCTCTCTTTTGCTGGGCTGGGTACTGCTTGCCTTAGGGCTTGAAAAGAAGCTCTCAGACAGAAAGTAGAATGCTGCTGCCATGTCCATTCCAGTTGAGTTTTTCCTCATTAACTAACCTTCCGTTTTTTGGGGTTTTTTTTTGCTATTTGGGAACGTGTAATAGGGAGGGGTGGAATCGCTATGCGGCGTGGGTGGGGTTTGCAATCGGTATTTCTTCCTATTCACGCTCGGCTACCGTGCTACCAAATCTCATTTATAGCTGATCGCTAACGATTACAGATCAAACCCGTCAACGGTTGGCACGTGGAATTAAAAAAGCGGCATTTTCATCCAACTAAACCACAGAGATTTCTAAGAAGCAGCGGTTACTGAGGCAAGTTTCCTTCTGATTGAAACGGGACTTTTGGTTGAGGGAAGTTCATAAAAGCCAATTCCGAGCCTTTGCAAACCAAATAGGAACAGAGGGAAATAGCTCATAAATTCATAACGTGTTAAAATTTCACCTTGTACTTAGCACTGGTTGAATAGCTCGTTCTCCATCGGACCGTGTAGAAGCGAACCTCCGTAGTCTTTTGGTTCTTTGGGACAGAGTTGTCTGCCCAGATGACCCTCACTGCATCATGCGTAAGTGCAACAGCCTGGACACCTACTGGTGGGAGCATGGGGGTGGAGATATCTGGGACTGAGGTAGGGAAATCATCAAGCAAAGGATAAAAATCAACTTCTAATGGATCAATGGGGTCTGGGTCCATACATCACCAAATGAAGCATTCCAAAATAAAGGCGTAGGTAAGTTCAACAGAAAAACAAAACCAAACCAAAACACAAACAGCCACCAAGGGGCACACAGCACGATGGGTTAAATGCATGGCATTAATGAGGAGGAGGAACATGAGGAGAACAGAAAGAAAGGCATTAATGCAAAATGAGAACGCACCGGCAACGTTTCAGTTACATCACTACAACACAACTAACCAGCGCTAAGCGCGACGTTGCGTTTAAATACTTCCAGGTTTGCCGTGTTCTCTTCACGCAAGAGGAAGTCAACGCCCAGTGTCTCTCCTTAAAAGGACTTACATTTTCTTAAAAAAAATAATAAACGCAATCACTTCAAGGTTACATTATGGGAAACACCCACAAAGTGGAGAGCGTGTCATCCTCCGACCTGATTTGCAGACACGCCACACTCCCACGTGTAGGAGCTACCCGTGCTTTACTCTCTAGGCAGCCTCCTTGAGGCCCGTGATGTTGTTTCAGGCCCTTGAAAGGAGCATGTTCTGCGTCTGCTTAAACATTTATTAGGCAAAGCAGAATATAAAGATGTCGCTGCTGAAGCGAAGATCTTGCAGTCGTTGGTTTAACCCTCTCGGTGTGTTAAATTTGCATATCCAGGCACGGAGATGTGGGTTATCTTCCTCCAGGAACAAGTTCCTCTCCCGTGTGTCTTTGAGGAGCAAAATGCTGAGTGCCATGCACACGCCAGAGGAAAATTCTGGGAAAAAAATCTGGAATTTCTCTCCCGACCAGCATTACGGTTTGGCCCTGATGACATTCACCCTCTCTCGGCTTCTCGGGGGGTGCGGGGTGATGGCACCCAGGCGGGAAGCAGAGACCCTTCACACCCGGTTTAAATACCTCTGCCCTCGTTGAAGTACTCCGTCAACTTCTGGCCTGTCTTTTAAAGCTCGATTGACGGACTCGTTATTTGCCAGTCGTGATTTTTCTAAGCACAGTTTCAAAATGCAGCGGGTAAAGAGCAGGAAAAGCACGCCAAGAGTTGCTGTTTGGTTTTGGTGTTGGTTTATTTTTATTATTATTATTTTTTTTCCCCTAAAAGAATGTGCTAATTAATTAACCAAAGCATAAATGACTCTAATATTTCATCACTGACAGTTGCTACAGTTTGCTCCACGTGCAACTCCAGCTCCTGACACTCTTTGATCACGCCCGTTTTAGGGGTTTGTAATTCTTACGCAGAACCTCGGGAAGTCGCAGCCTTCAGAAGGAAAAAAAAAACCAGAGGACACGAGGAGGTTTAAAAGGGATGAGAAGCCGGGAGGTTCCACCTGCTTCTTGCGTGGCTTCTTTCATCAAAAGCCGCTTTCTAAGAAGCTTGAATATCGGCGCTGAAGGAAATGAAACAACCTGGTGGTTGTTGCAGGGACTCAAAAAATCAAGCACGCGATCCACACAGGGAGGAACGGGCAGCTGAATCTTTTTTTTTTTTTTTTGGCCCCAACCTGGTGACCAAAACTTCCGCAAATTGAAAGTCAACAGTTTCTTTCCCTGAAGTTTTCCAAAAGAGTTGGCTGTAAACTTTGGAAGGTGAGCAATACCTGTTTCTGTTTTTTTTTTTGTTTGTTTGGTTTTGTTTTTTGTTTTTTTTAACAAACTTATGCTGGATGCTGATGCGACTGGAGCTCAGTGGATATTTTAGCAAACGCTGCGCTTCCTTTCTCTTTTTCTTTCCCAGACTGAAAAGTGAAGTCCTGCTGTAGAGGAGAGGATGAAGGGGGGCTGGCTTTAGCAAAATCAATGGTCAGACTTGATCAATCAAGAAAATTCAGTTTCTCCAACACGTCCCCACTGACCCGAGGAAGAGGGAAACGTCTATAATCCACTGGTGCCTGCAAACAGGTGCCTAAATCGTGCCTCCATTTCCCATCAACGTTTCGATTGCTATTATTGATATGTCATTTATATTTATATATATCTCATTCGGACATCGCAATCTTTTGCCAGAAAAGATTTTCTTGCTCTTTTTGGAGCTGTTTTGTGAATTTTGCATGTTCTATACCTTTAGTTTCCACACTGTATGCACACCAAAGTCTGTCTACATCTCCACGAAACGGGCACGCAAAGTTTCCTTGGTGCCCAGGGTGCGCCAGCTCATCCGCTGCTTGGGGAACACAGCTCCTGCGCGTTCCTCCTTTGCTAAAAGCTTTTTTTTTTTTTTTTTTTTTTTTTTTTTTTCTCCAGGAATGATCCAGGCCACAGGCTCCTTTCAGCGGCTGCATCCCATGGGTGGGAGATGGTGGGAAGCTCCGGGCAGGGATGTCTCTCGGCAATAAGAGAGAAGCTTCGAGGTGGACTCGCAGATGATCATTGGGTCAGGTCACCAAAAGAGAGGCCAAGCCTGAATTACCTTTATTTTTTTTTTTTTTTTTTACACCTGGATATTGTTTTGTTGATGAGAGGTTATATACAGACATAAAATCAAATCCCACAGGCCAGCCGGGTGATTTTTAAATAGAATCGACAGGGAACGAAAAAAAACCTTGAAGATAAAAGTATATCTGGATCCTGAGGCAAACTCACTGAAAAAGATTTTACAAGACACACACCCCCAGCAAGAATGACCTCTGTAGACTCCAGACAGGAAGAAAGATTAAGAACTTTGAGCCAGAAGTTCCCTGACTTTATATCGAATATAACTTGTTACGGTTGCCCTTGATTGTGTAATTAATTACTTTTTTTTTCTTTTTTTTTTTTTTTTTC